CAACCATACTTTTGTTGCTTGAATTGCTTCATAACTGTCAAATAAACACTTATATAGTGTCATGTGCTTATTAGTATCCAAATCTATAATCTATTTAGACATGGCTGCCATGGAGGCTCCTTCACTTGCCATGAAAGTATAATCATTTCTACCAAAACTATCACTAGTATTGTTTGTTTTTTTCCTATCTCTTGTCTTGGCCTTGTAGTAATTTCTAGCAAAATGACTTAGTTTTTTACAAATATAATAATTCTTTATGTTGTTTTTTGAATTATCACATTGATTTAGAAAGCTATCTTTGCCTTATCTTGGGAATAGAGTCAGATCATCACTTTGAAGCTCATTTTTTTATCTTAGTTACTTCATGAACAAGTCTTGATGTGACATAATTCATGGTAAGCTCTTTCATATTAATAGACTCCAATACTACAATGAGATAGTTATAAGACTTGGAAAGACTTATGAGCAATGTCAACATAATTTCTTTATTATTAATTAACTTGTCAATAATTACTAATTGATTTGTAAATACTTTTATCTTGTTGACATGAGCCATGAGATCATCTCCTTCTTCTATCTTTGTTGTTAAGAACTTCCTCCTTATCTATAGAATATTGGCAAGATTTCTACTCTCAATGATGTTATAAAGAGTCTTTCATGCTTCCACTAGTCCATTGCAAGCAATTACATGTGAAAAGTTCACATCATCAAGATTTGTTGCAATCATAATAAAAGCCTTTCTTTCACGTTGTTTGTACTTCTTCTTTACCTTGACATCAGCATTATCACTAGGAGGCTCTTCACTTTCATCAACAATGTTCCAAAGGTCCAATGAAGCCAACAAAAGCTCTATTTTCTTCTTCCAATGGTAGAAGTTGTCATCTCTAAACTTCTCAATCACTTTCAAATCCTCACCTTTATTTGTAGACATGTCTAAAGAAAGAATGTATCAAAGAAAATCAAGAAAAGAGAAGATAGAACTCTTAAAATCAATAAGAAGATGTTGTTGCTTTAGAATCCTAGAATGCCCTCTTTATGAATAAACTAGTGATTTCACTCTTGAATCACTCTCAACTTCACTTATAATACTTCTTACAAGTCTTATATACTATGTCAACCTCTCTTGTAAGCTTTTTCACTCTTTTATCACCTCTAATCTCTCATAATATCTCTATTCATTGTAAGAAGATCTATTAAGAACTTAAGCATATGAAAGTTTAATGTTACTGTACCAATGATGTAGATTAGCAAAGAAACACACCACCAGTGCTCTAGAACAACATTCTAAAGTATATAACAATCTCCAAGACCATGAATGCACTTAATAACAAGTAAGAGCAAAAACTATATCAACAACTAGAAGCAAAAAGAGATTTAAAAGATATCAACCATAAGATCTACTCCTCATAACAACAAAAACTTAAAAGAACTTTAAAATTCACAACTAAAGGTGTGTAGGCCCATAACCTATTGAAAAAATAGAACTTTGAAGTCACAACACATAGTATTAGCAAGGTTGCACACAAAGAAAATATAGAATAAGATGTCTTTTACTTCCAACATCCAATACTTATATATTGTGATTGCTGCCCTATAAGACAACTTTCACTCTTTTTCTTCTACATATATGATCCTAGATCCTAGAATCTTTTGGCATCTAACATACCTTAAGGGTATCTTATAGCCCTTGGATCTTTTGGCATCTTACTAACCAGAAAGGTATCCTATGTCAAACACTAATTACTCTTACTTAATCTTTGAATATTCTCTAGTTCATATTTTATCCTCTTGACTTTGATTCTTAGTCCTTGACCTTGTCGTATATCCATAGGATGCCCTTTCTATATACCAAGAATCAATCCTTTGACCATTAGCAACATACCTAAGGTAATACCTTTTATTATATAATTTATTCTACTTTTACTTACTTACTTCAACAAATTGTTCAAGTGCAAATATATAGATTACAAGATCTATATTTTTCAAAGATTATTGTTGAGATTTATTTGATAGCCATTATAAATCTCACCTTTATTAAAAATTATTTGACTTGTAATTTAAACAAGATCTTTAGAAATAATAGACATAATATAACTCTTAGAAGAAAAGCCAATTATCTCTTGTAGTCTCTAGATAACAATCTTGCGTCTATAATTCAATCAATGAGTTGTATAATGATTGAGCATAATCCATTATAAAGTCTTTGATGCAAAGTTATGTTTCATAACAACATAAGAGAATATCCAACCTTTAAGTCCAAATTAAATGGTGGCATTCTATATAGATGTAAGTTATTTAAATAGTTGGATAACAATTACCATTGTTGGCACCATCTTCCATAAGTGTTATACATGTAATAAGATAAATATGTAAAACTCCAAAAATTCTTTTTATATCACACATATTTAGATCATCAATATCATAATTTTGTGCAAATAAAATACACATATTGATGAAATATTTAACTTCAAATAGTAGATATCCATGTTATTGAATACAAACAAATTATAAAATTTTAATTTGTTTGTTGTTAAGTCAAAAATTGACCACTTTTAAAGAAATGTTGTTAAAAAAATAAATAAAAAAAAGAAGATATACATATAATAATGGAACAATTATTGTTTCTTCAATAATTTGTAATAAAGATGTTAATATTTTTAGTTTTCATCTATTAAAATTAAAAATATTTTATTTTTTATTTTAATAAATACATATATAACATAATATAATATAATGTATTTAACTATTTATGATTTATTGATATAAATATGATGAATGATTGAAAAATATACTTTCATGTATTCTAAACAAATAGAAGTAATTTGAATCATTACATAGTAAGTATTGAATTAGATTTGTAAAATTTTCCAATTATATATTTTAATCATTTTCAAATAATATCAGCAATAAATTATAAAAAATTATTAATTAATGTTTAAATAATTATGATTCAAATATTATTTAATTTCAAATTATCATATCATGAATAAATCATAATTAAAATGAATTAAAAATTTATTATGAACTGATTATTACTTGTTTCAAATTAATGAGTGCAAGACACAAGTGGAATTTCAAGCATTTTAAAGTGAAAGTAAATCAAAGTGTCCTTCAAAAATCTATAATCATTGTAGCAACCAGAATCACTATGTTGCTTATGTAGTAATACACATTCACATAAGACTTGCACATTCATAATATAGATATGTCTAATGTTCCATGACAAAAAAAAAAAAAAAAAAAAAAAAAAAATGCCCCATCATTGCTATTGGTAGCTTTGTTCGTCACATATACACAACATTTGTCACATTCAATCAATCACATTCTCTTCATTTTCCATGGGCATTTGGAGTCACACCCACTTTTAACAAAAAAACAAATATGGCTATTTTTATTACAAATGAAAATAGATATATCACAAATAGATATATATATATATATATAAAAGAAGGGATTGATGACTTTGAGTATGCTTTTAATTTATTATTGATTACTAGTGTATTGAGTTGTTGAACCACCTAGGGAAAAAATTTAATCATAAAAAATTAAAATTATAAATTAAAAAAACCTAAGATTTTACTTTAGTCAAAATTATGCTATTTTATGATTTTTTAATTTTTTTTAAATCTATACAACAGATTTTGAGTTGACGGAAGTGTGACAGCAGAATATTTTATTTTTCCAAAAAAGTCACAAAGAAGTTGAAAGAACTTCAAGGATTTCATTTCAAATGCTAAATGGTCTAATCATCATTCAGATTTGAGTTTTTTGCATGATGCAATTTTTAAGAATGTATCATGTATGTATAATGTAAATATGTATCACCTAAGCCACATCTGACACCAATTCTGTCATATAAATAAATCATTTTAACATTTCCCTCTATATATATATATATATATATAGATACCTCTACATTTTTCTACTCTAACAATACACCAACTTTTTAATGATGACCATCTATAGTCATTCATGTTATTCAAATCTACAAAAACCTCCAAAGTCTTTGTGGTTTATTTATTTGTTTATCTGCTGTGTGTTAAAAGCTAGCTAAATATTCTTATTGACATTGACATATAGCCAAGTTATATATCTATCTATATATATATATATATACTTATTGTCAAAAATACTTCCATGTGAATTCAAATTTTTACAATTGATATATCAAATAAATATCTTTCATTTTTTGTATCACAATCAATTTCTGATGCAACTGATATGACACGCATTTATTCACCAAAAAATAAAAACAACATAGGTTGATTAAGTATAGTTTTGATATACCTAACTTCTAATATTAATGGTGAAAAAAAATACATGCTCAAAATTAATGTTAAACTAAGATCAATCAACAAATACTTGAAACTTAAATGTTACACTCTCTGACCTCAGATATTGAAACCAACAAATTAGTTTAAACAAAAAAACTATTGTTTTACATCCTATACTATGTTTTTTCAATAACATTTGAATGTATCCAAATTAAAAATATAACTTTTTCTTGCAAAATCTTCACTCTCCACAAGACTTTTAACGTAAGATCAACTTCTCAACACAAAATTTCAATTTTCATGGGCAGAAAAACCCTAAAGAGTGAGTAGTTCCTCAAGTTCAAATCAAAGCCTAGTTACAATAATTTATTGTGAAGCCATAGGGTGGTAGTTCTAAGTGCACTTTAATAAAGATGGTTGTTTCTTCCAGCTCCAACAGTGTTGTTAGTTGTAGGCTGTTGGAAGGTTCGAGAGACGAGTAGGTTAAGAGAAGAGCTAAGGCAACCGGGCAGTTAGGTTCGGAATTGGTTCGGGCACGAAGCAAGTCCAAGCTAGGGAGAGAGAGATAGGGTTTAGGAAGGCATCATCGTCATCGTCCGAATAGAATTGGACAGGTTCGGGCCGAAGGGAGGATGGGAGGGTAGGAAAGCAGGTGAGGAGGGAGGTTCGGACCCTCCATACCTCCATCCCTCCATTTGCTTGGTTTTTTTGTTTTTTTTGTGGGCTTCTTGGACCCTGCTCCTCCCCGATGGTCCCAGTTCGTGTTCCGATGCAATTGGTCCGTTTCTTCCCCCACTCCCCGCAATTTCTTCCCAACGGCGTCGCCTGCGCATGTCGTCGTCCCTCCCGCCGAGATTGTGTTGTAGGCTTTGTAACGAATGCTCGGGTTTGAAAACTCGTCCAGCGCGGTGGTAGATTGCTTGGGTTGAAACCAGAAAAAGGGCGGGAAAGTGATTGTTTACGCTTGGTTTCGGTTTCGTGGGCAATGGCGATCAGGGACGAGGAGAGGGTGTGATCAGTTTTTTTTGTTTTTGTTTTTGTGTTATTTTTTTGTGGTGTCATGAAGGTCTGAAGGATTGGAGGTAGGGGGTGGCATGATGGTTTTAGGGTTTCAGGGTTGGGATTCTTCTAAGCGAAGTTGTGTCCTGTTGGGGTTGAGAGAAGGGAGGAGAGGAGGTGGATGTTCTGGAGTGTTCGTTAGGGTTTGAAGTAGCGGCGTGTGTGTGTGTGTGTATGGTGGCGAAGAAATTGGCCGGGATGACAAGGAGATGGAGTGCCGCGGTTCATTTCTTTATGCATCGCATTCTAAAAGCACAAGCGGATTGTGACGTTAGTGAAACGTTTTCGCTGAAGTTTTTTGGGGGTGGTCAGTAAGAAGATTAGCGTGGCAGGTCATGGTGAGCGTCGGGGACGTGGTGCGGGCTGTGGTGGATCATTACAGTGAGAATTGGTGGATTGTTGAATTGGACCAGAGACGTTTAGAATGCGACACAGAGTTTTACTTCTGCAAACAGGTTTTGTAGGGTCTTACAGAAATGAGCTCAAGGAGTGTAGGGGGTATGAGCAGCAGCGTTTACTGGAAATGTATAGCGGTGAAATATTCTGAGAAACGGAAAATGGCACGTTTTCAACCTAAGCCCTCGGTTGCTACATTTACATTGTGTCCTTAGGAGGGTTAGGTCACGAAATTATAGGGTCGAAGAAACATTTGAATTGGGAGTGTGTAAGTAGGGGCGGGGAGTTGGTACTTGCCGCCTCGCTGGCTTGAGGATTGATGGAGTGCAACAGAGATGAAGCAATTCGGGCGAGGGAGATTGCAGAGAAAAAGTTTACAATGCAGGATTTTGCTGGCGCTAAGAAGTTTATTCACAAAGCTCAACAGTTGTATCCTGCTCTCGAAGGTGTATCCCAATGGCTGGCTGTTATAGAAGTTCACATTGTGTCTCAAACGAAAGTCGGGAGCAGTAACAATGAGACCGATTGGTATGGCATCCTTCAGGTACTCGTGCCTTTTTGTGGACTAACCCTTTCGCATCGCGTTTCGTTTGTGTCTCGGTGTTTTCTTTCAAGCTGTATTCTTTTGTACCTATTTTCGGATGAGCGTTCTATGATGCCCCAATCCACTGGAGACGTTCAAATGTTGATTGCCTCCTTTAATTTTACGACAACGAGTATGTCGTAAGCAATGTTTTTAATGCCCGTCATTGTGGTTATCACTCGGTAAATGCAAGCATCAACTTGTTGATGCTGTGCATGGATTCGAACGTGAAGTATGGACAATGTTTTGCTTCTTCTGTCCTCTTTTCGCGAGGTGAAGATTGTGTAGTAGTAGCATCCTTGCAGTTTGATTGCTTTATTTTATTTTATTTTGAAAAGTAATGCTCTGTGGGGTAAATATTCGTTGACGTAGTGGTCTTTGCGACTGATACGATTCGGTCTCTCCATGTCATGAGCTTGGAGCCGATTTTCTACATTTTGGTGTGCCGTTGGAACTTGGTAGGCTGTACTTGTGGGGTCTGAACTTATTTCTGAACTTCGTGAGCACTGTGTCTTAGGTGGAGCCGACGTCGGATGATAGCACTATCAAGAAGCAGTACCGGAAGCTCGCTCTACAATTGCATCCTGACAAGAACAAGTCAATGGGGGCGGAGGCTGCTTTCAAAATGGTTGGAGAGGCTTTTGGAGTTCTGTCTGACAAGGGTAAGAGAGGTTTGCATGATGTGAAGCGAGCTGGTGAGTCCAAGGCCTCACGTGCGCCGTCTCGTGTAAACGAACCATCGAAAACTTCGTATCCCGCTTATCATGCTCAGTATCAAGCCGCTGCACAAGCAACACCTGGCCCTGGCCCTGGAACTGGCGCTCCAGCTCCGCATCCATCCCTCACCTTCTGGACGTCATGCCCTGAATGTCGAATGCAGTACCAATATTTGCGCACTTACTTGAATTATCAACTTTTATGTCAGAAATGCCACATACCCTTCCTTGCGAAGGACATCAATGCAGCACCTGTAAATGGGGCCTCTTCGTTCGCCGCGTGGACACGTACTCCCGTAGACAATAACGGTCCCATCCCGCGCAGCGCAGCTCCCCCTGCTCCTAAAAGAGCCGAGCCATTTAGTTTTCAGAACTGGACTACTCCTCGGACCAATGGGTCTACAGGTAATGTAGCTGGAAACGGACATTCTCACGTCTCTGGGGATGCTCATGCGACGGGTGTTGGGGTCAAAGGACCAGGAGCTGCTGGAACTTCAGCAACAGCAGCAGCAGCTGCTGCAAGCCTGGTGCAGGAAGCATATAGGAAGGCCCAAAAAGACAGAGTGGATGCTGAGAAGGAGTTGAAGAGGAAAGAGAAGGAGAAGGAAAAACTATTGCGGCAGCGAGAAAAGGAGGCTTTAAGGAAGGCGCGTGAGGAGGCCAAGTCGAAAGAGGCTTTTGATCGCTTGATGAACAAGCGGAAGGAAACCATTGAAAAAGAAGCCAAACGGCAAGCTGGTCGGAAAGATTTGAGCAGGAAGCGACTTAGCAAGCGCAAAAGATTAGGAGGCGATGATGATGATGATGACGATGATGACAACGACGAGGATGAGAATGAGGACGAGGTCGGGAGTCCCACAGCCAAGTCAAATCCTACGAGGAGATCCTGTCGTCGCAAAAGGAATGTGGCATACGGACAAGACGGAAGTGACGATGATGATTTTGTTCCTCCTTCGGAAGCAAAAAAACCCTCCATATCTGGTAATGGTGGGGAGGTTGGCTGCGGTAGCACCTCAGAAAAGGGCAAGTCCATGATGGACTCCGATGACGAGATGTGGATTGAAAGAGGTGCTGACAACAATTGTGTGAAGGAAAGGGATAGCGGATCTGCATTTGTGAACGATACTAGACTGAAGGATCCTTTGCATGAACGTTTGGCTGAGAGGTTCAGGAGAGACCTTGCAGCAAAACTTGGCAGAGTTCCAGGTCTTACTGTGCCTCGACAAGGCTTAGCACGGCCAAAGACGGAGGACGAACACGGAAAGAAATTAGAGGAAGGAATGGATTGCGCTGCTAACTCGGTGAATGATTCCAAAAACTCATCATTTTGTACTGGGAAACCTGGTGGTCATGTCGATGTAGACACCTTAAAGCAGAACGAGCAAGAAATTCATCATCGCGCCAATTTTCCTGATGGACCTGAGAAGGATGTTCCGTCCCCCGTAGGCTCTGAAGAAGACGTCATAAATGTGCCCGACCCTGATTTTCACGATTTTGATGCCGACCGAACCGAAGCTCACGTGAAGAAGAACCAGGTGTGGGCTGTCTTCGATGATACAGATGGAATGCCTCGGTTTTATTGTCAGGTGACGAAAGTCCGCCGAACCCCATTTATGGTGTATGGCTCATGGCTGGAGCCGGTTCATCCTCTTAAAGATTCCTTTCACTGGTTAAACGAACGCGAACTTTCTTTGAGCACTGGTGAATTTCAGCTTGGTGATGACATCGAATTTGACCAGATAAACACGTTCTCACACTTAATGCCAATCAGGAGATGCAAAAATCTATATGAAGTCTATCCGAAGAGGTCTGAAGTGTGGGCAATTTTCAGAGACTACGATAAAGATATACCGAAGTCTAATGCCGATGGAAGAGTTCCATTCCGGTACAGCTTTGTAGAGATTAAAAGTGACTTTTCAGCAGTGACTGGGGGAGGAGGTGTAGTGGCGCTAGAGAAGCTCCAAGGATACAAAACCCTCTGGATACCTCAGGGAGATGTGTACCCGCTTTCAGTGAGAACCTTGCACAAATTTTCACATCGAGTACCTGCATTGCGTATTACAGAAGGTGACTTGCCTGGAGTGCCTGCAGATTGTCTGGAGCTAGACCCAGCATCTACCCCAGCTGATGCTGTAGAAACCTCAGCTAATGCGACATAAAAAGTCCACAGTTTGAAGGAAGATGGGGCAGACGGGATATCTGTCTGGCTGCTGCTGCATATTGAAGGTGAATTCTGGAGTCTTTTTTCTTTTTTCAACTTTTTTTTCCCACTGATGGATGGATGTTTGATACGTGGGGCGGATATTCACAAACTTCATCCATGTTATTTCTTCAGAATTGGTACCAGCTAGTAATGCGGCTTGTCAAGCAGCGGGCCATCTCCCTCACATACTAGTGTTGTTATTCAGGCTTATTACCACCTGAGAAACACCTCTTAGGCTCTTACACCAAGAATTGGTCCAAATTTACTATCACATGCTTTAAGTGAAAATTGTTTGCAGAGTTAGGATAGAAAGCATAGTTGGAAGCTACTTCTCGAAAGTTTTATGATAGCTTCGGGATTTTTTTTAATGTGTAGAATATTTGGCATGTACAAACTCAGACTCGTACTTTGATTTTGCTACTTGATCTTGAGATGATTTTTTTGGTTCATCTTGAGTGGAATATCTGGTTGTCAATATTTGGTCATGTCATCATTTTTAACTTAGACTTACGGTGCAGGCCTAGTATCTAGTTGATCTCAAGTCAGTGTTGGGTGTATTCCCGCAATATTCTACTTGCATGCAAGTTCTGTGTTTCAGATCTCCTGAAGTTATGTGATGAAGTTAAGCTTGTTACCCATGCTGCAGTCATCTCTACACTGCTTTCATCACCACAGCCCTAGTTTCATGTCTTGTAAATGATTGCTTCAAAAACCGAAGGTGTCTTGTCAGGATGGTTACCCTATTATGTCCTAATTTTACTGTTGTCCCATTACAATCTTTTCTACTTTTAGCATGAACATGACATAATACAATCAGAGCAGCATGTGAAGATCACTTCCTTGCATTCCACTTTATCACAGGCACAGCATAATTCAACCAGATCTTTGATCAGAAGGAAATTGTAGGGAGAATCTATGTCTTCAATGCAACAATACAGTTTGGTGCGGGAATGAACACCAACTATGTGCACTTAAGTAGACTCAAAGATGTCACAAGGTATCCAAGAATGTCACTTTGATAGGTGTGTTTTAAAACAAAAAAATGTGAACATGTATATCCATACTTTAGTGAAGAGAAATTTTAACATGTAGTGATGGTTATAAAAACATAAAAACAAAAATAAACAATAATTTTTTGTAAAATCATTAATGGTATAAATTAAAAATCCTAGATATAAAAAGTGTTGCAAATTTAAAAACTAATATTGTAATTATATTAAAACATTGTAATAATATACTCTAATCCAATTACTATCAATCATTAGAATTAATAAAATCCAAAATAAACTCTTTTAAGTTATCAGAACCATTGTTTAAGAAAAACTAGGATAGATCCAACATAATCAAGTTATTATTGAATTCCACTATATAACTTTATAACCTTAGTTAGACTATTTGATATTTTCTTTATTAAATGGGATTATTCTTTAAGAAATTTATGAGATTTTCTTTATTAAATTTATGGGATTAAATTTTGTAAATATCAAATTGATATTTGTAAGTTTATTATACTTTTATTATTTATTATAGATTATCTATTATTTTAGTACTAGAATTTTTAACAATAATTTCTTCAAAACATCATTTAAATTCCTATTATTTTCAAATATTTAAAGGATACACTCTTTATTTTTAAAATAAGAATTCAAGTTTGATACATAAATTTTTAGTTTACTACTAATAATAAAATTCTTCTTTTAACCTATAATATGAAAATTTATCAATGCAATTTGATGTGAATATTTAGCAAAATAATAAAAGAGACTCAAAAGTAATTAAACTATCAAAATGCTTAATATGTTTCAAGTTATATTTATTAAGTATAATTTACTAATATTTATTAATTTTATATATTATTTAAGCATCATTTTTTTATAAGTAACATAATATATTAAATGTGGTAATGTGCAATAATCTACACTTATATGAAAGGAGGTGGAATAAAATCTTGAAAGAGAGAGAGAAAGTAGGTTTCAACCATCGAAGCTTGGGTATCAAGTGGAGAACCCTTATCACATTGGCCATCATCAACATTGTAAGGTAGATGGTGCATTACAAATAGAGAAGAAGGCCATATATGGCCATGATAATACAAGACAAAGGAATCAATGATAGAAATAGAGGATGGACAAAATCAATCATAAGATAGCAAGGGGAGTGCAGTTTTCACAACATTGAGGTGTGGTTTTATCAACTCTCTCTTTTTCTCTGTAAATATATATAAATATATATATTCTTCAAGTTAGAAATATTTATTTATAATTAAAATACTTTATTATTTGAAATATCTCAAATGTAGACTATTGATAGTCCATAATATATATAAAAAAATCTATTAATTTAAATATATTAATTTATTCTTTTTATTTATGAGATTTATTCTTAAAGCAATATCATCTAGATTATCAACCACACTTCTAATTAGACATTCTTACACATAAAAGTAAATTTTGTGAATTGTATTTAGATGGTTATATACTATATCAATTATTAAGATAAAATCTTAATCTATAAAATGTCATAAGATAAATAGATTCCAAGAATTTTAATTTTTATAATGAATAATAAAATAAATTAATATTAAAATTTATTCATTTTAGTATTTATGTAGTATTTATTTAATACTTACAATAAATTTTATTTATTTGTCTACTATACTTCAAAGAATCATCTTAGAGTTTTAAAAGAAAAAAATCTATAATATAATAATAAGAGAGAATAAAAATACTATTTTTTGAAATATCAGCCTTTTAAGTTTAAAAAGATACAAATAGTAGTATCATAGAAATCAGTCCTACTTGATCAAATAAAATAATTTCTTAATAGTTAAAAAAAAAAATCATGTAAAAATCATCTTTTTATTACGAATATGTTAATACTTATGCTAAAAAATATTTTCAATAGCTATTATGCATATTTATGATTTAAATTTGAATCTAGTAAGCTTCTTTTATACATTCAAAACAAAAATTTACCTATCTAATATATTACTACTTATTTCTACTTATTTCTAATTACTACTATTTACTTCTATCTATTTAAGTTGTGTAGGCATCTATTATATGTTTTGCCTTCGTGGTAAAATTCAATACTTTATATAAATATTTGTTACTTAAATTGTTGAGCAGATTGTTTCTATTAATGCTTGTAGAAACTTGATTTCTTTTTATTATGCTGTCAAATAGGTCAAATATTAGATTTGAAAAGATTAAATTTAGTCAAATTATCTACCTAGTACCATTCCCATATTTTTATATAATATTTAATAGGTTGAATTTTCTTAAAATGGAAAAAAAAAAAAAAAAAAAAAAAAAAACTTAAAAGATTATGTCTTCATTATAATCTCATTTATTACAATATCTCTTACTTATTATACTAGTTTAAGATTAATTTTTTTACAAAAAGACATTATGCATATTATATAAATAAAATTGTGAAATAACAACAATAATAATAATAATAATAATAATAACAACTTATGTCTCATTATAAATTTATTATGATATTAAAATCTTATTATTAAAATATGTCTCAAACATCATAATTTACTTTTTAACATCAAAGTATTAGACTTAAATTATTTTATTTACAATAAAGCAAAGATATACATTCTTAGGTATTGATTAATTTTAAGGAATTTATCAAAAGTCCTTTTTAAGTCTAAGTATATATATTTTTTTAAATTATGTAATTTTAAACAACTATAGTTTTATAATAATGCTATTTTACTTGAGCATAATCAAATATTTTATACTAATACAATTGCAATGTAATTTAAGCAACTTTAAATTTAAATTATATGTATATATATGAATTATTTATTATTTTATTTTACTATATATTGATTTAGTATTAATATAAACCATAATAACTTATTTATAGTTTATATAAAAATTATTATATAGAATTTATAATAAATTTTATAAATCACATGAAAATAATTAAAATTAGCTCAATAATATTACTAAAGATGTGGAAATTAAACAATAGCAATTGATCCAAAATTTTGTATTCAAAAAATTTAAATCATCTTTTTAAAAGCCATCACAACAAGACTAGGGCCGTTTTATTTAAAATTCATGATTTAGAAGGATTATTCCTAAATTTTACTTTATATCCTTTTAGAGATTTGAGGCTAGATTAGATTTCTTTTTAAAAGCTTGCTTGCTTAATTTGGAGGCAGTGATTGCCCAAAGGTGAGAAGAGATGAAGACTCTCAGACCAAACCAAGGGAAGAATCCCAAAGGACAAAAGCAAGATGAAAGGAGAGAATAAGACTTTGTCAAAATCAAATCCTTTCAAAACAAATTCCAAAAATACCATAATATCCTACAGAGTTGTATGGGCTCAACCTTTTCATCTCACAATTATACAAGAAAAATAGACAATATTTTTTTAACTCATGAGTGTTAATTCTTTATACACCATCAGATTATTTTCCTTGTACAATGGAACACACATCAATTGCATAACTTGATAAAAACATAAATTTTGAAATTTCAATTATATATGTACTTCACACATCTGTGTACATAATATGTTGTGTTATGTATTAATTATTTGATCACTCATCAATTATGCCATTCAATGTACATGATCAATTTCGGACAATTTTGATACAAGTGTTCTTTCAATTCGTGCAAAATACATGTAATTTTAGGTCTTTTTGTAGAAAATCCTATAAATCTGCAACATATACCAGAGTATAAGCCAGAGCATCGGCAGTAGTGCTGAATACCAAAGACTTAGTTATAGGTGTGACTATCATGTTGTGTTTAAAAAGTCCTGTTACAAATGAATGGTTGGTCTGGCAATTTAATTTCCAAATGACAATTTTACTTCTACCATGTGAACTGCAGCACTTTACTACATACTGCACTTGCACTCAACAATTAAGTACATTTTGTCTACTTTTGTCCATTCAGTTCAGCAATCCTGTGAAGAGGGTATAGGAAGACTAGCATTAACCACCCAGGCACTATCTTCCGCTCAGTCAAACGAGGTAATACCATCCTCTGAAATTTCTATAAATAGACTAGTCTTTACATGCGAACATCCCAGCGTTAACAGCCTCACCTTCACAAGTGAGAAGCTGAACAGCTAAACCAACCGTCGATGTGGATTCTAACCGTTCAATACATTGTACATTTCTAAGAAATGGAAAAGGGATTTATTCGCAGATGTCCCAAGGATGGCGCCCCACAATCTCTTAAAAACTAATTGCACACTCCCACATCTCAAGCACAGGTCCACTTTTGAGTAGTAAAGCAACAACGCACTCTGGTTCCTCCCACGGGAACTTCATGACACAAGGGTACCTACCCTACGTGATGTGGAATGCTACAGCCTCAAAGGATGCGATTCAGTCATCTATGCATCAACCAATTCTTCGAAGCAGTCTGCTTCGTCGAAATCAACCCTCGACCTCGTAGTTACCAATCTGTGTATTTCCCGGTCTCAAAGCATTTTCTAAAACATGAGACGTTTATAGAGGGGGAGGGCAAAAGGTGAATCTCAACCTCAGCGATGGTGTCAATACTGCGGCTCTGACTTCTGCAGCTAAATGAACCATATTTCTAGTGCACTGCTGTATGAAGATGGAAGATTCCCTTGCAAGAACACATAGTGCACAATAAAGACCAAGAGTGAATGTCAAAACTGAAATAGGACCAAAATAAATTTCGTCATTGCCTAAGGTGAGATATACCGCCTTTTCCTGACGTCAACAGCCTGTCCTTGGATACCGCAGTTGCAGGAACCTCTGGTGTATGATTGAGCAGGTTATCACCATGCCCTGGCCTGTCCCAAATCTTCAAGTTACCTTCATGACAGGCTGTAACGATAGCTTCCTTCGTGAACAGAAGCCCTGACAACGGCTCTGCATGCACACGGTGAGCCATCACAGGGGCCAATTTTGGCACCTCCTTTCGAGCAGGAGCATGACGTAATGGACCCACCGAGTGCGCTGCCCCATCCCAACCTGCCGCCTGATGATTTAACACCGACGGAGACCCACTAGATACTGGTGCCATCCGCAGCGGTACAACCACCTCATCCATAGACAGATCCCAAAGAAGCAATTGTGTGTCCTGTGTGGAAGGATCCCACCATACGTGGGTCAATACAAGATGCCAACACTTCTATTGACACAATGCGACCATTGAGAATGAAACATTGATTCTTTGTTCCTCACAAAATCAGTGTCGAAACGACTCTAACTCGATGAGGAAAAATGACAAATAGCCAAAGCACCTGTCCAACAGAGCCAAAGCGGTAGGTGGTAACTTCTCCTGCTCCAGTGTCAGGAATGGGTGCTTCCCAGAAGGGATCGAAGGCCACTGCGCTAACCTGAGACCCTCCCCAGCCATATTGCACAGCGTCAAGATAATAAAAAAATAGAAAAATAAAAAAAATCCAGGATAGTTGTGTTAGGATGTCTGAACAGTCAAAGCTCCAAAGCGGATAATCGTACAAAAAAACCACGACAAGCCAACAGCTGTAGTCAAGTAAACAGTACCCAAGAATTATGCCCCACCCCCCAAGCAACGACGGCTTGATCCTCCATACTCCAAACTTGTACAAGATCGTCTTCTCCACCTGTCAATATGTACTTCCCATCCGGACTACCAATAGCCAACCCCATTGTGATTGTCAAGACAACTTTTCACTTCCCAAGGTTTCTATTTTAGTACACTACAGCCGCATTCAAGAGAGTAATGATGACATCGTAAGAAAGAAGAGTTCTATGAGATGCTTTAAGAGAAGTACTAAATTACTTCCTGAAGCTCATAATAAAGCATTCAGTTAAATATGTACCAAATATCAACTTAACATTTTACATCCTGATAACCAAATCTACAAACTATTAAAAACGTAACAAACGTCACCCGATCATCAATACAAAGCATTAAATACAAAGCAGACGAACTGGAACAGATGGAACAAATCGCAGGGAAGTCCGTAATAAGATTACCAAAATAAAGCCCAGGGTTATGATGCAAAGATCCAGGTGAGGTAAGTTTCTTCACTTGGACTTTTACTTACATCACCTGGATTTTTGCAACATAACCCTGGGCTTTGTTTTAGGTTTCCTACCATGGACTTCCAATTGGATTGAAACAATCGCTACGACAAAGTTAAACCTACTTTGTTCAAATTGTAACTGCATCAGCTGCCACGTCAACATTGCATTACGAGATTAAACATTAAAAGACTTGAGATCGATCCAGAGACAATACCTCCAAGAACAGCAAAGCAAGGCACCAAAATAACTTTTACACCCACATACAAGGGTCTCCTTAGCATAATCAAATACCCTTAAGTATCCTGACACATCAACATTGTCATAACTTCACATTCCAAGCCAAGAATAAATTCAAAGCAGCATCTGTTCTACACTGAAATAAGTCATTTATCACCAACCTTACCATATCTTAACAATAAATGTAGGAAATAAAACTCATTCTGCAAGCATGAAATGTGTAGACATACCAAAGTAAGCACTTAATCTGCGGGAACATGTTCAGTGCTAGAAGAAACATACCATCTCGACCAACTGTCGCAAGATAAGTACCATCCCGCGAAAAAGAAAGTCCATTAATAGAACCCTGACAAATATGCCATCTGGCAACTGGGTTGCTCTGAAAATTGAGCCATCAAAAAAAATCCTATGTCACTAAAACAAAAGACTGGGCCAATGCGAAAAGTCTAGACTCACCAAATGTCAGCAGCAAACAAAAGAAGCACTTCTTGTAATCAAGTCACCATGGTGAGAATTGAAAACGTTATTCAGTGCCTTGACACCTAACAGAGGATAACGGTGAATTAAGAGTACCTTGCTAGACCTTGCATGTGCGACATGGAACTGGACCGCATCTTTCACAGGTGGAAATGGAGCATCTCCACTACTATCTTTAGTCTGTCAAAACAATACCGGAGACATTCGTTAATACAATAATAATCATTCAACACCGGACCAAAGAGAACCCCAGCTCCCCACACACATTCCTAGTAACTGGTAATCGTTGCAGGCCGAACTTCAAAAGCTTTCGACTCAAGAAGGAATTAGCCAATAATGTTATCAACACAAACTCCCCTCTAACACTTGATAAATGATAATCGTATCAACTGAAGAGGTGCTTGCTATATTTAATTGTAAAATGAGAAAAATAAGAATAAATACTGTTTAACTCACTTTGTCATAAACAAAAACATTCCCATCAGCATGCGCTGCCACAAAAAGGCCCTCGACGTTGGGTACATGAGAAACCGCCGTGCACCGACTGTACAAACCCGATGCTAATTTATTAGTCATAATTTCTAAAACAGCGTGCTGAAGCGTTTCGACCTCCAAAAAAGCTTTCCAACTTGCCCAAAATCCAGAGAAAAACACAAGACCATGACGAATCTTAACACTGACAAGTGATTTAAACATTAGCAGTGCTTTTTGCAGCAAAAGTTCTTCAAGGTAGCTGTAGCATAATCCTAATTATGCCATCCAAGCACATTTTGAATAGAAGACCTGCTCTCTGTCTAAAAAATCTCGCTGAAACACATTGGACCAACATTCGAGTAAGACTCTACTATATCAAACTTAAACATGCTTGTCAATCAGCAGCAGTTACTTAGAAGTGAGGGAGCTCATACCTGCTATTGATAGAGCCGTCTTTATTGAAGTGCATGGCCCCGACTAGCTTTTTTCCCGAGTCCTGCAGCTGCTGTCTAAGCGATGCAATGTAAACTGCACCGACAAACCATGTGAACTCGGTCTAAGGTATGATACTTACATCCATGACTGGCAGACCGCTGGAAGTATTTGGTAAGAATACGGACCAAGAGAAACTGAATTTAAATTATCAGCATTTTATTTATTTATTTTGTGTCTGGGAAACAAATCAAAACTGAATAACTCTCACCATCCCCAGTATTCAACCCAATGATAAGGTCGTTGCCATCCTTCGCATCTTCGTCAAAATGATGACATACGGGATTAGCATTGCCAAACTGGATCGTCTTGATTGGCTCCTGGAAGAACATGATTGCACAGATTTCAAAGGTATGGCTTAATTTGTTGAACACAACCATTAAAAAGGTATAAAATATTCCGGAGACAAGTACTTTACATACTCAAACTAGGACGCAAAATCCTGTCACAAGAAAATCACCAAGAAAGTGTTCCAAACTTCATTTTAAAGATCCACAAACGTGCCTTTCGTACTCTCATCGAAGTGACGAGCATCGTCCCATTTTTGGAACCCGACGAAGGGAACCAGTTCCTAACTAGTGCCTACTAACGAGACCTAAAGATGTGCCTTCCGTAAATCGAAGCTGTATGAACGAAGTGATTCTAAGGTAGGAGCAAAAATGAAATTTGAACTGAATTATCATTTAATTGCTTATTTGATAAGTAAATCAAAGGTGGTGTCTGATTGACGAGAGAGGTATTTTATGTTGGTGCAACCTACAGAACTCTAGGCTCGAAAGACTATAAGTGTTTACCATAGCCCCAATCGGCTGTTCACTCTTCGATATCACATCGAAGAAGAAACAAACTAAAACAAAAACAAAAATCATATCCATTCGAAATTATAAGATGCAGGATCACTTGTTTGTCGAAGTATGTGCTTCCTACAGCTAAGCCATAAGAGCTGTGATGTAAACATAAATAGAAAAGGACATAGCTATCAGCGGTTAGAGATTATAAAGCTAAACATGCAAGAGCCATCTACCTGTAAACAAACGATCAATCTTGACTACTCGCGTGGCGATAACCTAGTGGTTATAAGGAAGAGAATACGATCAAACAAAACGAAAGGCCTGTCTTGATAACACACTTGCCTTCTCTTGAGAATAGTAGTCACTGATGAGGATGGCATCGCCCACATTGAAAATTAAGTAAGTGCCCTCTCCATCGTAAGAGGAGGTCAAAGGGCTGCTACCCAATCCGACAGGGCCCCCTGCGTTGCTTGCAGTTGGAGACTTATTACTACTCAGCCTACCCGTAAAACCATTCCCACCTCCGAACCCCAGACTTCTACTCCCATTGCCTGCTCCTAAAAACCGAGCAGCTGTGAAGCGCACGCCTCCTACAGTACTTGCACTGCCACCACTTACCGTCGATGATTGAGTGGGCTTCTCTTTCAGATGAGCTAACGCCACCTGCAACAATGGACCACCGGTGTCTCAGTCACTCCAGATTACTCTGACTAGTACCCTAACCAGGGGGTGTAACGCTGTTGCATTCAGGGCGCAAGCGTGATTGCGTGATGCTGATCTACAAAACAGCGAATCCAGCAGCCCTAATGCTTCATTCCTTAACACGTTGCAACCTAAGGGCAAACTCCATCCTCGTGTCCCTGCTAGAGTGAGACTTGAAAATTCACGCTACAGATTTTAGGCTACTTTGCGGGAACATAGATCAGCCTTCAGTTTGATGCGTTTGCACTATGGAATCCACCCCAAAAGTCGCGGCAAGTGAATCTTCCCGTGCGACTAGCTGCAGACTTTACGTGGGGGGTGGGGGCAGAAATGATTGGAAAAAAAAACAAGGCGAAGTCGAGTGAAGGTGTAGTTTCCCTAAAACGCTCAGCAGCTGAAGCAACCATCGCGTACCTGAGTGATAACCTTGGCGGCAAGGCTGTAGTGAGGAATGCCCGGAGAATGTGTTTTCTCGCGCGACAAATTGTACCGGCCCTCGGGGGTCTTAAAATGAGTGCGGACGCCTGGGTTGGTGGCTGTGGACGTCGCCATAGGGCTGGGCGATGGGATTGAAGAAGAATCAGCTGTACAAAAGCGGCAGGGGGGGACGCACCGAGGTGAGAACAGGAAGGGGCATGATGAAAGAGAGAGCGAGAGAGAGGAAGAAACGACGATGGTAGGGTATGAAGAGGAGATACAAGCAGCAACACCACCACCACCAGCTACGCAACAACAGAGCTGCCACTGAGATCAGTAGCCTGGTATCGTACTACTGCTATTACAGCAGCAGGAGAGGCAGGAAAAATGCACCAAGCGCAAACAACGAGGCGATCCGAAGCAAAAGGCACTACCGAACGGAGATTCAACCATGCTGCGAAGCCGCGAGCGAAGTCGGGGGGAGGAGAGGGGGGGGGGTAAGGGACACGGGGGTAGACTGTCTTGCTCTTTCTCTTCCGGTGAACTCGTCTTTAGGTCTCTCTCTGGTGCCTCGAGTCATTTCATTTCGGGGCTGTAGCGTGCGGGACAAGGAACACCTACTGCGACAACAACGACAATAACGACGACGACGACGACGACGACGACCACGTGCTTCTGCTTGTGCTACTACGGCTTCTTCCTCTACTTCTGCTTCTAATTCTTCTTCTCCTTATCCCCCCCCCCTTGCAGCTGTACGCCGAAGCGGCAATCCTCCGTATCGACGCAAAAAACACATTATTCTCCAAACCCTCCCTCGTTGCCTCCTATTGCCTTCACGCATCTTTCTAGACCTCGGCGAAGAAAGAACGCATGTTACTTACATTATCTATTTCAATATCTTACATTTACATTGCAAAATAGCACAATCACATATTAAAAAACTAATATTTGCTTCAACATTTTTATGCCTTCTTATATTTTTGTCCTATATTTTTAAAAGGATTTATTCATCTTAACATATATTATTAATTGAATATTTTTAGTACAAAGAAATATACTATATTCAAAAAGAAGAGTATGAAGATCGTAAAAATAAAATACTCAATTAAAGCATAGATCATATACTGATAATATATTTTTAACATAAAAAAAATTTGACTTAAATAAAATAGATTTGTGGCAAAAAAACCAAAGAATAAATTTAAAAATAATAAAATCAAATACATATAACACTAAATATATAAAAATATATTCTAAAGATCAAAAGAATAAGATATGAATAATATTTAAAGACAAAACCAGGTTTTAGCTATCATATCTATAATAAGTTTGTTTCTATTAGTGAATTATGGTTACTTTTCAAGGGCAGATAATAAGGAATTTGTAAAAGGAATAATATTACATGCCATTTAACAGATAATATTGGTCTTTCATCAATACAAAATACAAGATATGGTTAGGAATGGTCAAAACTTGTGACATAAAACTCCAATTGACATTGTATGCATTTCTAATCTAAACATACTTTTATTATGTATTATTTTTAAACTTTTAAAATTTTGGATGATGTATTGATTACAAATTTTTATCAAACATATCATATTAAATTCTACATTGATAAGCTTTATAAAGTGATATACTTTGTTTAAATGCCAATATTTGTATTGAAAGAACTTTTTTTTTGCATTAAATCTGTAAAGTCTATAATGGAACACATTATCAAAAGTGATATATATATATATATATATATATATATATGTGTGTGTGTGTGTGTGTGTGTTTTTAAAAAGGATGGTATTTAAAATTTATTCAATAGCTTATATATTTAGAAAAAAACTTAAATTAGTATTTGATATTATTTAATTAATATCAGTTATTCAATACTCTAATTTATTTCTTTATTTGTACCAAAAAGGGCAAAGGTTATTTTCAAAAAGATTTTTATTATTTTTTTATTATTTTTTATTATTTTATTATTTTATTTGTTTTTTTTAAAATAATAATATCTAGTTATTAAAAGTTGAAAAAATAAAATTCAGTTGAATAATAAAAATAAAAAGTTCTTGGTTGCTTGTAGACCTTGTTTTATTACTATACTACATCACAAGACAAAATGGAAATGTGTGATCTATTTTGTAACATACATTGTAATTTATATATAATTTTGAAATATATTTAATGTATAAATATATAAATATTAAATGTGTTATATTTATGATTTGGAATTCTTATTGAAAAAGTCATATTAAAGACTTGTTTTATTTGTATATTACATCATATTAAAATTTCTAAAATAAAAATTATATGTTGCTATTTATGCTATAAATTTAATATCAATTATTTTTACAATTTTTTTAAAATTATAATTACTTATTAAAAGATAATAATTAACATATATAATAAAATACTTTAGATTTTATTATCAAATAAAAAGGTATTCAATATAAATAAATCGTAGTTCAAAAATGATTTTTAAAGGATTCTTCAAATTGTCTTTGATGAATCTTAATCATATTATATAAAATCTAAAGATATTGTATATGTATATATTTATATTTTTCTTTTAAAATTAATTAAATTTGAATTTCTATAAATAGATTAATAGGATTTAAAAATTAATTTTATTCAATTCATTCACTATATATATATATATATATATATATATATATATATATTAATATTAATTGATTTATTGTCTACAATTAATTAAAAATTAAAAATTATGGAATACAAATACATACATCAATTTTATTTAGATTTTTTAATAATATTTGGTACATATAAAATTATATTAAATATTATTTACAATAATATTGGATAAATAAAAGCACTGCTTTTAAAAATAAAATTAAAAAACAAGATGTAAAGATTTGGTCAATTTTGTTATCCACAAAGATATATTTGAACAAATATATTGTAAAAGTTTTATTTTTCATTGCTTCTCACATACCTTATATCTATGTATAAATTCTATTTTTGGTATAATTAAGTAAAAAAGTCAAATCAAAAAAACATTCTAGCAAAGAGAATATTTTCGAAATTTATTTTATAATAAAAGAAAAACATGTTGAAGTATGCTCAAATATCAAGGACATAAAACCAGATAAAAAATTGAAAATACAGTATACTTATATGCCACTAAAATAAATAAAAATGTAAAGAAAAGTAATGTAACTATATATATATATATATATATAAAGTTATAGTTATAGTTTTTGCTAAATATAAAGATACTTGAACTTAAACCATTACATACAAAAGACATTGATAAGACCAAAGATGATGTTAATCTACCTCTACATATACTATCTATCAATGCACTTTTGTAGAAGCTTCTTGATGACTAATAGACTTATAAACCAAATTTCAAGTGTAGACAAATTCCAATGTAACTTCTTAAAAATAAAAAAACTTGTAGAATAAATTTTAATTACCACATGATATATCTGTAGGAGTATAAAGATCCAATCTAGATATAAAAACTTCCTCAAAGTTTCATAAGAAGGATATTAATTACTTAACATGTTTCTCCCTACATCTCTTTTTATTTATTTAAGTAATATTAACATTTATTATATTAAGAATCTAAAACTATATAAAAATGGATGTAAATTTTTAAATATCTTGATATTTCTTATAAAGGTCAAAACTTATATTTTACTCAATTTTACTATTCTAGACCTAGTAAATTGTGATGTCATGTTGGAAAATGTATTAAAAAAATAATTGGTTTTTTACATAAAAAACATAAAGTATACAAAAAAAAAAGATGTTTACTTATGATGTTGACTATTGATACACCTACAATAGTCTATAACAAAATTTGCGGTTCTACATCTCTTAAGTGCTAAATTGGTTATTTTGAATTTTATAGGCAAACTTTGAATTAAGCTTATAATAAGACTAACCACTTTATGTTTTATTTATTTTTTGTCTTCTTTTGATTTTTATTTTTTTTATATTTATTATTATTATTATTTTATATTAAAATTTATATTTTTCTTTTTTTTACTCACAATTTTATATATCTTTTAACTTTGTACAAACCTTTGAAGACTTAAAATTCTTCAAACTTTTTTTTTTGAGTTTGTCATATTTTCTTCAAATTTACAAACCTTAACTTAAAATATGAGAATAAATGATAGTTAAGTCAATAAAGATACACTAGATTATTAAGACTATCTACCTTTTAAAATCTACTTAGAGAGAAGACAAAAGATTAAAATTTTTAATTTTGTCAATTAGATGAGATTAAAAAAATATTATTTAGTTGGATTTACACTCAATAAAATCAAGCCAAAGATAGTGAGAAGGAAAGATAAAGTAATATACATTTTTTTTTCCTGCAAGGCATAAATAATGTTGTCCTTTAGAATTTTTTCATAATATTTATATTTTAAAACTCTAAAAATATCTAAAAAATAAGAGTATCTTTTTTTATTATTTTTTATTTTTTTATATGTTTGCTATAATTGTTAGAATCATACATTGATTCTAAAAATTATAGCAAACATGAATTATATATATATATATATATATATATATATATATATGAGCCAACATATTTAGATTTATAATAGAATAATTGATTTGATCAGTTTTACCAATTCTGTTTACTTTACACTATCTCCAAAAACTAAAGATTCCAAAATAAGATTCTTCTTTACAAACCTGAAGTCATTTTATTAAAAAAAATTGTTCATATAGAAATCTATCAGTAATTCTAGTTTCTGTAAAAATTGCTCTCTCTCACGCATTCTAATGCTGATACGCATTTCTGCAATGGCCATCGTTTATTCCACACCTCCATCTCTTTAACGACACTCTGAAACAGTGAGCTTTGACTTGAGATTAATCCCGACTAACCAAACAAGGAGCCAGAGATTCGAGACTAAAAAGTTCCAATGTTTTTCTCTGAAATTCCAAAAACGCAGCCGGCGCATAAGTTAAAGTCAGAAGCATTGTGGTGACCTGCTTGAAGTATTTCTGTTACCTCCGTTAGAGCGTTTTGCAGCAAATGTATGTGTTATCTTCAGTCGTGAAACAATGTGCGTTGCTTCCAGCCTGCGAGCCTAGTGCCTTCTTGTTCCTTTTGTGCAGGGAATAAATCGTTGTTGTGAACAACATTGCCGAACACCTCGATGTTATAACCTCGAAGTTGTTGTTTTCGTCGCTGTAACAGAATCCTTCTGCGATTAAGATCGTGGCATCACGAACTTCAACTGAATACTTCAGCGTAACGATCTGATATATTCTACTTGAGTTCAACTATCTAATTATGAACCAATCTATCAAGCGTAAGAACATAGTCATGTGATATTGGTTTAGGAATTAATGAATTTAATTATTTGTCCATTTGCTTGAGGAAGAAATGATACACAAGCTACTGAGAACACCTGGATGTCCAAGCATGCCTCAGCTGCCATCTCGTCGGTCAGCCATCGAGGAGCGTTTCCTTTTCAGCTGATGCGATGAGGCTTATAGAGAACCTTCTGTTAGTTCTCGACTTTGATGCTTGTTATGATTATTTCCTTCTATCCTCGATGAGTAGAGCCGCTCTAATTGGACAGAGTTACGTTTGGTATCTCAATAGACTGGCCAATTCAATGCACACTGCACAAGTACGCCCAAATTTCCCTTGACCTGAGATTCTCAACTGAATCACGAAAGGTAGCGATTCAGATAAATCTACACCGTTTCATTCATGTCTTTCGTCATTCAACCATCAAGCTCGTTTGCATTTGATTCATTTTATTGTTGAGACTTGAAAGTTAAGCCGTTTGAAGGAACAAAGTAACTGCCTTGTTAACTATAAAAGTGACATAATTACATCAATTTCAGTTTCGGTAGCTTATTTCTACACTAGAAGAAGACCCTGTGAGTCTTGCACTCCATGGAACGCCACTGGTCTATAGCCACAACCTTGAAGAAGAAATTCTGCGTGCGAGACAGGACTACAATCGTCCGAAGAATCTTTTTTTGCACTTCGAGATTAAGGAAAATCCCATGGTGAAGCTGGACGGATAAGAACAGTATCCGAGATGGCAAGGATATTTGCTGCAGTTTTAACTATTGCCAGCATCATCGGCAAGGACGTACTACCACTTGCCCTTGCACAGCAGGAAGGGTTTGCAACACAGAGAGAATATGATCGAATGTTTAGGAACGATGTGAAAGCCACAGGCAAGACAAATTTGCACACTTAATACTACACTCGATGTGATCGCAGGAGAAGATGAGAGCTAGGTTGAGCTTGACCTGCGAATGTAAGCATATTCTTTGTAACTTGAAGTCGTGCGTATTGAAGTTGAGTGACAGTAGACGATTGCAATTGCAGGTGTTCAGAGACGAACCGAGTGGCCGGAATTGCTGCATAAAAATATGTCCGCTGTTTGGGCCCTCTTCTGGAATACCTTGGACGAAGCGGATCCCGATTTCAGCATGTTTTTGCAAAGACCTCTGCCAAGTGAGCAAAATCGGCCGCAACACGACGAAGAATCAGATGTTTGGTTCTACTTAACACGTGACGACATCATATATGAAATCCCGCGGCATGGTCGATGGCATCCAAATAGTACGTCTCAAAAAACTCTACGCAATCGTGAATTCTGCAGCTCGCATATCCTGCTTTCGAATTGCATATTGAAACATGCGTTAGTCTCCATTCAGGAGTATGTCCAGGATGGCCCGAGTTGAAGGGTGTACACTATAGAGATGCAGTGAAGATCATCAAGGACGACATGCCAGGAGTGCTTGTTGATTATGGACCCTTGCGGCGGCGAAAACCTAAAGGAACACAAATTAACCGTGTTGTCCTGTACGTTGACGAAGAGGAGAAGGTAGCTCGCATCCCACACGTCGGGTGAGGGGAGAGTTGCAACTATCAACATTCTACCTGCAAAGACCAACAAAATGAAGCACGATATAATAAGGTCAATCAATGAAACAATATATGCCAATCCAGAGCTTGTGAAATTCCTGCAATGAATGGATCAAAAGACGGTTGATCAAAATCCAGAGCTTGTGGAATCCAGATCTAGTCCTCTATTACTTGTTATGCCCTCTTTGTGATGGCCTCCAAGACCTACTACATTACCTTGTTACCTGTATTTCCTTCCATTTGTGTTGTGGAGGCATTTGTCTTTGACTTATAAGAATAATGGCCTAAGTTTAGTATTTTGTTGTTGGAACTAAATATGTGGTGGAGATGTTTAGACAAGAAATTTTGCATCAAAGTATTTCGGAAATAAGTTGCATTGAGAGAGTGAGAGAGAGTGAGAGAGAGTCGTTTCCTTGTGTTTTGGACTGGCTTACAATTTTTGTTTTTGTTCCTTTTTAAAAATGAAAAAGAAAAAGAAAAAGATGTATTAAATTATTTTTAGTTCTTGTTTGCACTTGTAAAAAAAATAGATGAGTAAATGAGTGTAAACAATTGCTGTTTAAAAACACATTAAATGAGCAATAGACGCTCATTTAAAGATTTGTAGAAAGGGTGGTGGATTGTGGTAGCAATATCAAAAACTGAGGCATTACCAACCCTCTTTAAGAAAAAGCACAAATAACAAGTATGATAACTAAGAATAAATTATGTTTATTTCTGTACAATAATTGTTTTCGTATTATTTTTCAATATTCATCGTCACAATGAACAAAATTAATTCCGAGCTAGTTAATGTTGTCAAATGATTTCAGTTCATTATAACTATTGCGTGTATGATAAATTACTACTTTTTCCAGAACATGCACACAACCTTCTTAAATGAGTGAAGCCCTTACTTTCCCCTTCTCTCTACCACCAATGCAAATTATCTGGAAAGATTTTTTTCTGATAATTATTAAGCATTCCTAGAATGACAAAGCATTGTCTAATATTCTTATTCCACTGACCATTTACTCTCTTCAGAACACTCTTAACAAATATGTAATAACACCCAATCAAGCCTATTCCAATGACACACTTTGAACATCAACAATTTGAATGAACATACTATGTTAGAAACATCAATTTAATCAAAACAATTCTTCCGCAAGTTTTTACCTTCTGATTGCTATGCAAGAATGGTCCAGGGCTTTGATAAGGCTCAAACTTCGAGTCATATGCACATCCACACATGCTATTTGATATGGTGATTGAAATTGACTCCATAATTTCACTTCATTCTAGATAGACTTGACTTGTCTTGACCATTGAGTACTAGATAAATTTAACCTTCTAATTAACCATTTTAACTCCATCAATCCCTAAAAATTCCTAAAACACCATCAGTGCAACATAATTTAACCATTGAACTATTTGTGATCCCCTCACCCTTGAAATGAAAATTTGAACTTAACTATCAAAAACATTCCTGAAGGAATAAAGTGACTCGACACTATGTTAATCACCAATGTAAACCTCAAGTGAACGTGCTGACAAATTAACAAACGGATCTCAGCATGATACATTTGTCATACACATCAACGTGCATAAGGGCACAGAAACTTTGATCAGTAAGACAATATCAACACAGCGAGGATATCACTCGCATTTGATCGATTGGTAAATGTGCCGGACAAATAAGTGTGACGCGCGGAATCCTACACTGCCCAGCATGAGAAAAAAGCCGAAGCAAATGCAAGCCATGTAGCCGAAGAAGAACGACGTTTGCATAAATCCACTCATGTCTGACCGCGCATAGTAGTAGTAGAAGCAGTATCCATAAATAAACACTCCAGTGGAGCCCCCGCATAAGACGGCCCTGCACATACAATCCATAGCATCAGTTCGCCTTAAAAGCAACTATCTCCACAAACTAATCGTATCTGCATCTAGTCATTAATTTGGCCACTCCTGTGTAGCAACATTTGTTGGAATAAGGCATAGTTTGAGTGTCACCTCCACCACCACTCGTGGTCTTCGACGGCAAGCTGGAAGTAGGTCAACGCAATAGTGATGAAAGCCGTCACAATTATCAGGATGATGAAAACGATAAATAGAATACTGTAGATGGTGTACACCTTATGCCCCCACACGCTGGCGAAAATATAGTACAGCTCAATGTAAATAGCACTGAATGGCAAGAAGCCGGCCATGGCCATTTGAGGAACAGTATAACGATACCAAGGCAGAGGCGGGATTTCCCTGGGAAACTTTGTAGTCCTGGTGGGGGCTTGAAATTCAGCTTTGCTGTTTTTCCCAGCTATCCCACCCAAGACCAGCAAAGGGGCCGTGATGAGCGTCCATATTAGGAAAATAACGCAAATTGTGCCGAATGGGAGGGCTGCAGTTGCATTGTAAAAGATAGCAACTGTATTCAAAAACGAAAATGTGAGAAACAATGGTCCACAAAACAATCCTCCAGTGTAGAGAATGTTCCTAACCTGCACTCACCCAGTACATATTACAAAAAGTGTCAGATCCACATGGGCAGAATTATTCTGCTCACAACTGTAAGGAGTGCATGAGCTCTCGTAATTGCTACGTCATTTCCACCGACTTACCCGTAATGAAGATGGACGACGTCATCGCTCAGTGGCTAGCTTAAGACTTGTGCTAATTACTAGAATCAAAATAACTAAACAAAGATATATCCAAAGCCACATCAACACATGATCATTCACTTACCCAATTAACGCCTTCAAGCTGCTTGTAGAAAGAAGCAGCTGTGTACCCAGCAATGCCTGATGTCAGTGCGTATATCATAACAAGCGCCGTGTAAAGAGCCCCACGATTGTACGGGTAAAATACTCCAACCAAGGCAAGCATGAAGATGAAGATAGCCCTACAAATAACACAACACAGGCCCCCGTAGGCATGTGATTTGATTAGCTCACATTGTGCGATGCCTTCGGCCACGTACCCGTCATGCTGAGCTAATTTAGTTGAAAAGACATACACGACAAATAAAAACTATACACAAACTCACAATCCTGGGAATGTCCCCAGTTGCCAAGTTTGTTATCAGGGTGCACATGTACACAATCTGACCACAATCGAAACCAAGCGTCTCAGCCTTCAGGGCAGTGCATCAGTAGCTGAATGGAAAATCACGAACATTCGAACAAGGAAGCTGAAGAAGAAAGCTTGGAACCTTACAAAGCAAGAAGCTGTGCTCCACTTCCAAGAACGGCGCAGAAAAGGGACTTGTAAGGTGGGAATCTGAACACATCCCCATGAATGTACTTCCACCCTGTCTCTTCTTGCTCATCAGCAGCCTCTTCATCACGAGAATACCTGGCCGTTCAGAAACATGAACACAATCAAGTTTGAACACTCACTACATGACCCTTATGGTGGCTCAGATGTATCTTTTTCCGAGATTCGTCAGAAACAACAGTGGATACCAACAACGATGACATCTACTGCGCAAACAGATGGAGATACAACTCTAAAAATCATAAATAAGTGTATTCCTCCCCAGGAACGAAGTCTGTCAAGTTACTTACTTGATGAAATCATTCTTGAGTACGCGCATCAGAATTGTCGCAAGGAAACCGGTGAGTAGAAGGACAGTAACACACGAGTTGATGATTGAGAACCAGTGGATCTCTAGGTGCTGTGGCATAAATGAAGATTTCGAGTACTTTTCCATACGTTGGCTGAATAATTTGTCAGTTACCTTCCATTTTGCAGAGTAAGTGAACTTTACTGTCTGCTCCTTAGATTCCGTGATGTCCACGGTGTACATAGGATCGAACCCGACATTGATCTCAATGACTCGATCTTGGTTGTAGAGGATTTCAAAATGAACGTGAGTGTACAAAAAATACTTAACATCCTGCCCTGAATCCTCTTTCTTGCCAACGTACCCCCAGATGGGCAAGTCATCATAATACATTTCGAAAAAATAATCGTTCTTCACAGCATCTTGAAACTTTTTGATGTCATCCTTTGTAAGTGTCTTTTCACAGAGGGTCTTCATTTCCTTGTCCACTCTAAACCTCAACTCATACAAAGCTTCCACCATGCGGTCGCCGTTGAGAACCTCGCCAAGAGCCTCCCTTTTCTCGGTAACCTCACCTGCAATGCCACACAAGTCAGCATTTGAGACCTGCATGTAAGCGTCAAGGCACCATGAAACACGCGGAACCCGTACAGGATGACTACTAAACATCCAAAAGCAGCTTCACGAACACTGCAACGATAAGGACAAAGGTGGGGAATCATGAGTACAAACCTACGGGATGGCAGAAAGGCAGATCGAAATACTTGTAGGTCTCACTGCAAACACGGATACAGTGTGTCAGAGTGGCCTGTGACAACACAAATTTGGTGCACCACCTCCTTCGTCGGCAGAACTTCAAATTTGTCACACTTGAGATAAAGTAATATACATACACTACTCTACCAACATTAATCATGCCGATCCAGAACTCAGAACATGGACCCGTACGACTCATCCTTAGATCATTCCACACAAGCTGCAAATAAATCAAGAGCTTCACCCGCATCTGCATACTCACAACTCGATCAATTTGCTAAATCAGAATACTAAAATTTCCAACCCGAGCTAATATACGACCGAACCGGGACACTGCAACTCTCAAATCTAGGCTGCAGTACAAACCTCCAGCTACGACATTAATGATTCCCTCCACAGCATTCAACGCACTCATTATGAAACACACCCTTCAGTATTTACAATACCAAACACATGCGTTGTTTCAAGGCATCTGCTTCGTCAATTCACTCCCGCTTCCAAAATGTAGCATGCAACAAAGCTGACGAAGGTCTCGAAAACAATCAGACATTAACTAAAACCTCTAAGTCCACGTTACGTTCCTTATTGCTTGCAATTATTTAGCATCTCGAAGATTTTGAGCACAATTAGTCGAGCGTGTTGAAAGAAGGAAGGGGAGACAGGAAAAAAAATTAAATTAAATTAAATTAAATTAAAAATTAAAAAGATTTCGGATAACGGAAGCCCAGCAACCTGACAGGTAAACTACTGCAGCTAATTAGATTCCAAGGTGATTCCTAAAAAAGGATGAAACCTATATTTGTCAAAAACTTGCAAAGCCGCTACTCTAAAACAGTCTGCGCCAGATTGCATTATGAATTCTCACGGTTCGCTACCTCGGGAGTACACTAACGACAAATAACTGTGCAAATGGATCCCTCCCACGCGGCAGCAACTCAATCCCGATACCGAAGTCTAGCGATTGATATGCCATTCGAGTAATTCTTCCACAAAAGAGGAAGAACAAATGACTGAGATCACTCTCTGCCGCTTCCACTTACACACTTTGCCCAGTCACCTCCTTCCTTCCTTCCGAACACTTGCAAGGTATCACAAAATCTAATACTCTCTCGCGGACACCATTACTGTTGTTCAACACACACGATCTGTAAACTACATGCTCAATACATCCCTGCGACGTTCCAGCCTACACCACGAGAAAGTTTCGTCAGCCTAACCTCGGGTTGTGGAAGGGACCAACTTTGTTCGCATACAGCGGCACGGGATCTCCAGTGGCGTACTTGTGGTTGGAGCCACTAGCATCCACCTCCACAGCATCTAAACAACACAGCGCCAGCACCACAAATACCAGCATCGCTCTTCGCTGCGCCATCGCAACTTCCCCCTACACCAACTCCACGAACCAACCAACAAACAAACAAACAAAAACCTCAAGAAAATTCACCCCTGCTCCAAACCCCAATCCTGTGTCTGTCTGTCTGTCCGTCCGTCAAACCCTAGGCACTCTTCCTTGTTCCACTTCCGCCACCACCACCGATCTCAAGCACACTCCGGCATGGTTGTTGTTGTTGTGGTGGTTGCCGATCTAACAAACTCCGGTAGCCACACGCAAATGCCTCGATGACATCCTGCACATCGGACCCTTCGCGATCGACAAAAGCACGAGCTCAACAACATGAGTTGTGGGGAAGGTTAGGCTCCCTTGTGGAATAGCAGGGCCCTTTCTATACCCGGTATTTTAGGGCTAGTTCTGGTTAAAGATAAAGAAAGATGCGACCATGAAAATACATTAATGAAAACACTCTTTTCACGTTTGTATGCAACTTTTTTAGTTCGAGTGTTTTAACTACGTCAATGATTAGTGGTGAGTGCCACATCTTGGAAATGGGTGCCAGGTCGGTCTGACATTTTCTTGTAAAAAAACATATTTTCAACCGTAAGTGTTGACTTTGTTGTATTTTTGGTAGAGTTGGGTATCAAAAAAAGGGTGTGTTTGTTTGTTGTATGGTAATCTGCAATAATAAGACTCGCTATGACAGTGTATATTATGGACCACATTTTTATTATTATTAATGTAGGATTGCAGCAGGGATGTGCATTGTTCGTAAGACAAATTTAGCCACCTATGATACCACCATTTGAATATTATTTAGGTGTTGCAAAGTTCTATTTTATTTTTTAAAAGGGAACATTCCTTTTTCTTTTGATTCCCATGATGTTGTGGACCTCTGCAAAACAGCATGTTTTTTCAAGAACTTCACAATGATGATGATTTTTTTTAAAATCAAAGACAATAAACCGTTAATTACTGTTATTATTATTATTATTATTCTAAGTCATAAGTGCATTCCCAACATTTTATTTGAAATAGATTAAAAGGTTTAGATAGATGTTTAAATTGTCTTCACAATTATTTCTCATGCAGTTCAGAATTTATAGTGATAATTTTTTGATCCCTATAAATAATTATGGTAAAATAGAACAAGCATTTGCCAATTGCTAATTGGCAAATGTAGTGCGTATATATATATATATATATATATATATATATATATTAAATCAAATGTTTTGATGTGACAATGCAAAAGATATTTAAAGTTGAATGTAGAAGTATGAAATCATTTTCTAATTTTGTTATAATTAAGTTTTTTTAAATAAAAACATATTTAGTGAGGATGTTTTAATTAATTAGAATTAAATATATTTTTTAAAAATTGAATTTTTTTATTTTTTTATTTTAATGGATTATACGTATTCTTGATGGTATTATGATTTGTTGGTCAACAAAATAATACAATAAAGAAAATATATTTTTTTTTCTTCTTTTTTCTTTTTTACAATTATAATAATCATTTTGCACAATTGTGATATAAAAAAGAAATATACTTTCTTGTTAATTTCAAAGCATTTGCAATTAACAATCTTGTATGTATCAATATGTAATTGTAAAAGAACATCTTGGATTAAGTTAGCTGTAATAGATAAACAAATAAAGTTGTGATTTGTTGTATTTGTGGGACCATATAGCTTCTTTAAGTTTCAAATTTTAATAATTTTATTTTTTATCCATGATTTTTATTTTTACAAAAAATATGAAACATCACCTTGATATACCAAAAAAATAGTTTTGAAGTTTAAAGGGATTAGATACATTACTATGCGGCACCAAATGTTATGTACATGCATTATCATGGTTTCAGAATTTTTTCATGATGCACAAAAGTTTTGCAATATGAATTATTGGAATAATAAGAATTTTTAAAATAAATACAAGTGATGATTCAATTGTTTTACAACACAAGGAATCAACAAAAGAACAAAGAAAAACAAACGAACATAATATTTTAAAGATCAAAGAACTAGAATATAAACATTTTTACAAAAACAATTTTATGACTAAAGGTCTATGTTCTTGCTTTAGTATTTAGAATAATACATATTTATTATTATTATTATTATTATTATTATTATTATTTTTGTATTATTGTCAAGGACATACACTAGGAAGTTGTAGAAGATTCTAGAAGGTTATAAAGAAGCTTTGTAGTTTATAGAAGCTACTTGAGAAGTTTTCAAGCTTGTAGTATATATAGGAGCCGAGATTGAGGGGATCCTCAATCTCAACAACACACCTCTTAGAGCTTTAGCTCACCTCTCTAGTGTTGTTCTTGTACTAATTTGATTAATCTAGTTCTTGTCAATTCTTCTTGAGTTTTTTTTTTAGATTTCCAGTCAGTATTCTAAATTCGTGACAGTTTGTCAAAACTGCACTGATCTTTCATATCAGAGCTAGTTCTTTCTTGTTAGAATATAGATTATCCCTTTGCTTGAAGGTGCTGGCATTTTAGAGGTTGCAGATTACCCTCTTTTAAACTGGTATTTCTTCTATTATAATATTGGAGTCTTATCTTTCTTGGAGAGAGTGGATTACCTCTCTTTTTGAAGGTTTTAAGGCATTTTAGAGGTTGGGGAGTACCCTCCTCTAAACCAATATTGCCTTCTTGTAGAGTCATTTCTTTCCTTCTCTTAGAATGGCCGGAGGTCAAGACATTAGTATGGCTGAAAGTTCAGAGTCCAAGTTGGATGCCATTATGAATGCTCTTGCTACGTTATCACAGAGAATTCTAGAGATTGAAGAAATCATTATAAGACTTCATAATGATGGAGCATCCGGGATGGCACAATCGAGGATTCACCATCCTCAAGCTTCAGCACTAAGAGTAGTAGCCTTACCTCTAGTTCAATAAGCACCGTTGGTCTTACAACAAAAAGAGCCCTGAATTAGCCTTCCAAATAAGTTTGATGGTACACGTTTCAAGTTTCAAGGTTTTGTCAATCAAATTAGATTGATAACAACTATACAATCCAAACGGTATCCAATGAAGGAGTCACGTGTTGGACTGGTTGGAACTTTGTCCATGGGGCAAGCTCTATCATAGTTTGCTCCTTTGTTTGAGAAAAGATTGTTAATTTTGAACAACTTCAAAACTTTTTTGGAGGCATTTGCAGAAGCATTTGGCAAACATGACAAGGTGTGATGGGCTACAACAAAGATCCAATTGCTACGATAAGGGGGACGCTGCGCATCAGTCTACACATCAGATTTCAGACAATTAGTGTGCGACATCAACTGGAATGAGGAAGCATTGATGAGTCAATTTTATTGGGGCTTGAAGGACGATGTAAAGGATTTGTTATTATCTCTTTCAAATCCGCAAACGCTCAACAAAGCCATTATCCAAGTTGTGAAGTACAATAACTGCCTATTTCAACGTTGCCAAGACCAATGCTCAAGATAACGTACGGCTCACCACGCTCCAACTATGTCAGCAAGAAGCCTGAATTCACATTCAGAGGTGGAAGACATGCAAATTGACACGATACGTGATAAATTTCTAATTCTAGAAGAAAAAGAAGCGGCATATGGAGGAAGGACTATGCTTATATTGTGGTGAAGAAGGCCACAGAGCTAGAAACTATCCCAAGAAGTAAAATTGATGCATTGTCAAGACCAAAGGCATATTTGTTCAAGAAAATAAGGATGCCCAGCCATAATACGAATCGTGCGGCTGGATAATTCAATACCACAACAATAATCAAGTTCCTCTCTTTTTGCTCAGCTTGCTTATTACTTTACCATTCCTCTATCTTTTGGCCCTCAAAAACTAAAAATCTTAGTATTATTAGATTCAAAAGCATCTGCTTGCTTTGTAGACAAAGAATTTGCTAAGTGTCATGATATTCTTCAAGTACAAAAATCTAAACTCGTTCACGTAGAAGTAATAGATACACGACCTTTATTGTCTGGTAGTGTCACCCATGAATTAGAACCTATAGAGGTGACGTTTAAAGACCATATTAGTTATATTATTTTTAATATTATTAGAACACCGTCAAACCCTGTTATTTTTGGTCTTTCTTGGTTAGAAATGTATAATCCATGCATAGATTGGAGGTTATGAAAGATGACATTTCTTATTAAATATTCCGAGAGTAAGCCTGTTAGAAGATCCCAAATCAAAAAATCCTTATTTATTGGAGTAAGAGTGTTTGTAACATTGTCTAAGAAAGGCACACCATTTGTCATTTATGCGACTCTAACTAGGGGTGAGAAGATTTTGACAACAAATATACGAGAGCAATATAAGGATTTTGAAGACGTGTTTCAAAAGAAGAATGCCGACATGCTACCGGAGCATTGACCATATAATTGTACCATAGACTTGTACCATAGACTTGCAGGAAGGAGCACAACCACCTTTTGGCTCCAATCTTGGTACATCTAGACTTTGCAAAGGCCTTCTATTTGGAGACCCATGTCGTATTACGTGCTAACTTGCTTGAGAAAGCACCGGACATCTGGCTGTGGAAGATAAAACAATATTTTGTAAGTATCTAGATAGGCTAGTGGATTTCAAATATATAAATATAAACTATTTTGGATTTTAATGTAAAAGCTTAATTCCAATACAAAGTGCTTTGAAATACTATTTTTAATAACTTCAAGATATTATAAGCACAAAGTCTTTTGTTATTTAGTTTTTATTTTTTATTTTATTTTATTTTATATTATTATATTATTATTTTATTTTTATTTTATTTTTAATCTTAATTCTAGATAGTGAGCTTCAACAAGCTATAATTCTCAATTTGACCGTCTGATTGTTGTAAATTTCTACCACTAATGTTTTTGTAAGCCTTCTAAATGCTGAAGAAGTTTCAATCCAATCTAACTTACAGGTTGCAAGAAAATCCTAATAATCCACATTGATATATTTTGACCGTCGACTAGAAGTCCTCGACTTACCACGCCAAAAGTCACCTTATTCCAAATAGTAGATCTCTAGATATTATAGAAACCCTAAACAACCTCAATATGCTAACTTCCAATACCTCTTTAAACTAATGGTCAAATATCCTCTATTTATTTCATCAGATTAACACAAAATTTTGCATGCACTCGACATACTCAACCCTCTAGATACCCCTAAATTTCAACTGCAAAAGTTTCTCCAATTTCACAAAACAGTCAAGAGTACCAGCCGTTACTTTATTGCAAAATAAATCCAATTACCAATATAAACACTGACTTTCAGCAATGATTGCAAAAGTTCTCTCAAACCTTATAAAAATCCAATTCTACACCTTTCGAAGGAGCTTGAAGTTAGCACTTCAATCCCAAAATCCTGATCTCCAAATACCCCT